CTCTCTCTCTCTCTCTCTCTCTCTCTCTCTCTCTCTCTCTCTCTCTCTCTCTCTCTCTCTCTCTCTCTCTCTCTCTCTCTCTTGGTGCAGGCTTGTGCACTCCCCTGACTTCTTCCTACCTGCCTACCTACCCCTATATATCTATGCAGCCTCCTCATACCAAGGAGAGTTAGGAAACTAAAAATGGAGTTGAACCGCACATTGGACCGACGATGCACTGCAGGTGTGTTTTTGAATGCTTCCCTGCTACCACAAGATATTAACCTCTTTGCCATCATTCATCTCGCTGACAATGTCTCTGGCCTCACTAAGCGCCACCTCCCCATACTTGGTGATGTAGTTGCTCGACATATTCAGGGTGCTTACAGCTGCCTGACCGTTGGCCTTCAGCGCCTCCGCCATCGAGTAGGCTCCCTTATCCCTGATCTCATTAAACCCCAAGTCCAGTGTGACAAGGGTTTCGTTAACTACCCTTAACGTCCGCGCCAGGGCCACTACCCCGTCGTCCCCCAATGAATTCGCTCGCAGATCGAGCGTCATGATGGTGGAATTGTACCTCAGTGCATCTGCAATGTGCTCTGCCCCTTTCACACCTATCTTGCACCATCCCAGGCGCAACGTCTCCACCGCTCCGTTAAACTTCAGCACATCCGACAGCACCTTGGCTCCGTCAGGACCGATAGGGTTATACCCGAGCTCGAGAGTCGTCAGGGTCTTGTTCTCCTTGAACGCTTCCGCAATGTGGCCCATGCCTTGAGCATGGATGTTATTGCCGCCAAGGTCGAGGGTGGTGAGGGATTTATTCTTCTTCAAAGCATCTCCCATCCGCTCTGCTCCCTTGTCCCCGATGTCATTCATGTAGAGATTCAACCAGAGCAAACTCTTGGACTTGCGCAAGAAGGACGCGATGTAATGAGCGCCCTTCGATCCGATACTGTTGTTGCCAAGATCGATGGTTGTGATCTTTCCTTTGTGAGAGGCGAGACCCTCCGTCACTAGCACGCGAATACCCTCGTCGCTGATGGAGTTCCCATTCAGGTGCAACTCCTTCAAGGACTTGTTCTCGGCAAGACCTTTCGCCAAGGCCGCTGCGCCCAAGCTCCCCGCGTAATTACCATTGAGATGCAGAGCCCTGAGGGAGGTGTTGACGGCCAGAGCACCGGCAATCGCGACGAACCCGTCATAGTCGATCTCGTTGTTGTTCAGCTCGAGCGTGGTGATGGAAGTGCTCTTTTTCAGAACCTCCGCCAGCGCGATGGCCCCATCGTTGCCGATGTTGTTGCTGCTCATATCCACATGTTGAATCGCTCTATGCTTCTCCAGAGCCTTGGCCAGTTCCATAGCCCCATCATCAGCAGCCCTGTTTCCGGAGACATTTAGGTGCTCCAAAAAGTCGTTCTCGGAAAGAGCGAACGCCAATGCCTTGAAACCATCTGCGCCAATGCCATTCGACGAGAGATCGACGCGCGCTGCAACCCGGTTCAACGCTAATGATTCTGCAAGATACTTGACGCCTTCATCCCCAAGATTGCGACCGTTGAGGTCAGCGACCTTCTTTGCGCGCAGCTCGCTGGCCATGGCGTTGAGCGATGCCATGGACTCGCTCCGCCATAGCCGTTCTTTAACCGCCTGCGGCATGTCCAAGATTCCCAGTCCTGGCGTCCCCTCCTCGTCCTGACCTTTTCCCCGCTTCCCCCCCAAACTCCTTGCCAAGCCCCGGAATAATGCATACAGCCCTGCCGCGCAAAGCAACCCACCTACACCCACTACCGCATACTCCATCGACACTATACTACCCCATTGTGAAGGCGATCTCCCGTCCCCTTTGGAGGCAGGAGAATCGGTCGTTGTTGTCAACGCCACGGATCGCCGCCGGGATGGAGGTCCACCACCCCTTGCAGACTGTTTTGCATCGGCTCTAACAGGACTGCTCCCACACAGATCCTCTCCTTTTCCATTCCTCCTCCTCCTGCTCATAGTTCTCAAAGTCCTGTTGCATATGCTGCCTCCGCAAAACCCTGTCGTATGTCCCAAGAGCCGGACGGAAGAACCGCTACCCAGCATAGAACTCCGCAAGAGTGCCGCCGCTCTTGAGCCCATACTCTGATGAGGCCTCCGCCTCCCCGAGACGTCACACACGCCATTCTTGTCACCCAGTTCCGGACCACGGTCAACGGTGATCCGGCAGGTGCAGCAAATGGTGCGCCGGAACCCAACAAACATGCCTGTCGATTGCACCCCTCGCACTGACCGACAGGTTTTCTTGTTGTCCTGACGATTGTTAGTGCCGCAACCGCCATCCCATGACCTGCATGCCACCCTGCAGCCTGCCGACTCGTGCAGCTGACGTGCGACCACATAGCCAGCCGGATGATGCCCAACCCCGCGGCGGTGGTTGTTATTACAAGACAGCGAAAGAATCACAGCATCGACGCGGCTAACAGCTCGTCTACCTTTCCCTGCCCTGGAGATCCGGGGAAGCAGAGAGCATGTGCTGCAAGCAACGGCAATGTGTGGCAGATGCTGACGAGTAGCAGCAATGGATGCCACAGACGTCGCCGATTGTGCCATTGTGCCCCCACCTCCAGGTGGATTTATCATCTGCTGCACTCACAGCTGATCTGTTCCTCCTTCCCTCCAATGCGTCGGTGAGGAGTAGACCATAGACCTGCCAGCTGTCCACCCTTTTACTCCTGCCTCTGACCCACCATCGCCAACTCTGTTGGCTTCCCCTCCACCAGCATCAACATCATAAGATCTTGCAGTCTGCAGAGTGCACTGTTTCCTTCCGTCTAACGAACTGGCCGCAAGTCGCACTCCTCTACTAGAACGTCTCGAGAAGAAGAAGTTGCTCGCCGCAGCTCCGGTTGTCCCTCTTCCCTTTCTTTCTCATCTTGCTGCTACTCCACTTCTTCTGATAAAGACCTCACCTCACACACACACACACACACACACACACACACACACACACACACACACACACACACACACACAGAGTGCAAGAATTGTAGGTCCAGTTCAGGAAACCGACTCAATAATGAAGAACAACAATTGGACAAAATGTGCCCTGTCGCATACACACATTGACACACAAACAGTTTGCCAGAGTCCTCAACCCAATTGGAAGAGGAGGAAAAGCTCATGTCTTCCTCTGCCTTTTCATGCATGAGACACAAACAGGACCAAGTTGAAGAAAAAGACCTGATAATCAAACCAAGCAAAACGATCGAGAAAAGTTCGAAAACACAACTACCTCCTTCTCACAGACACAATCATGCTGTGTCTTCCCCTGCCTTCTGGTAAAAAATGAACTGGCCAATCAACGAATGGATACTCTCCTTGTCCCACAAGACGTTCTTCATTGTGTGTTTTTTTTTTCCCTTTTTGCGGGGGGGGGGGGGGGGGGGGGGGGGGGGGGGGGGGGGGGGGGGGGGGGGGGGGGGGGGGAGATTTCCCATCATTATCATCCATCATGTGGCTGGTCTAAACGCAGGGGGAAGAAAAAGCAAAAGGACACAGTCCCTTCCCCCTGCCCTCCCCTGGTAACCACGACTAGGTTCAGCCGAACCCAAGGTGGAAGCTGAATGCTGAATGCAGTTGCGTTCCAGCCCCCCCACCTTGATTTCTCTCATACTTTTGAACATTATTTTTTCATTCTCAAAACAATATTTTTTTTTCATTCTCAAGAGTCGAGAGTCGGAACAATATTTTTTTTCATGCGTAAATAAATACGTTCCTTCTAGTGTCTCCCGTATCCTATACATATCATGTTGACGATTTTGTTTTCGTCTTCAGTACAATTTGTTTCAGTGATGCATATGAGATGAAGTTGACTTTCGGCAAATTCTCTTGAAGAGTTCTTCTCTGCACTACCCTTCGCTAAAGATCCATTTCTTTTTTTCTAATTATTTTCCAAGTTGCAAAGAGTGACGCTGTCCTTCGGGATATCCGTCAAAATTGGAACGATACAGAGAAGATAGAAAAAAAAAGGTTACCAGAGTGGGCCATGACCACTGGCGCGGCTGGGCAAAAAAGGAATAAAAATCATAGTCTGCTTTGGTTTTCGTCACAGGTACCTTGAGGGCAGTGATTGCTGGTCCCCACCACCTCAGAGGGTCATCAGTTGTCGTGCAGTCGTTTGATGGTTAACCACAACCGGGGTTAAGGTGGATTATCACTTACAGTGTAATCAGTTAGGGGATTCTGCAGACTGTTTTTTGAGGGTTCAGTCTCCTGACGAGTCGGTGAAACTCCAATGAAACAGTTTGTCACAGCCCCCTGTTTGTTGTCCTCTACCGGGCAGCTGTGTTTGACGATATATATATATTCACTTTTTATTTTTTATTTAAAAAAAATGGTGAAGAATTTCGATGTGACCCTGCGGCAAAAGTTGTTCAGTCTTTTTTTTATTACTTCCGAAGTTCCAACCTAGGTTACCAGAGTGGCGCAGGACCACTTGCCCGGCCGGGCCAAAAAAATAAATAAATAAATAATATAAATATACATATCGTCACAAACAGATATATATATAGTCACAGGGCGTTCGGGACGGGCCGAACGCCCGAACCCGAACACCCGAACGTATGGGACCCCTTGGGGATGCGTTCGGCCATCCGGACCGACCGCGGTCCCAAAAAAATAAAAAATAATAATAATAATAAATAAATAAAATAAATAAATCTGAAACAAAGATATGTTATGAAGAAAAATAAATTAAACAAGATTTGCCTGAGCATTACATCCAAATTCCTTACCAAATTTGAAATAAAAATAAAATATGAAAAACAAATACTAATAATAAAAATTCAAAAATAAAAACAAATAAAAAAAGAATTAAATGTAGTGAGTGCACGAGCACGTTTTCGACACCGCCATCTTTGGCAATTTTTTATTTTTTTTTGGCATAGCTAAATGCCCTGAAAATTTACAGATGTGTACTTCACATTATGCAAAAGCCACTAAAAAACGTTTCAAAAAATAATAAAATTGTTTAGACCCCGAACTCAAGTGAAAACAAAAAGTAAAAAGTGAAAAAAAATGAGGGCGACCACGTTTTGACACCGCCATCTTTGGCGATTTTTAATTCTTATTTGGCTGAGCCAAATGACTTGAAAATTTATAGGCACGTACCTCACGTCATAGAGAACTCACAGAAAAAAATTCAGAAAAAAACAAATATTCATGTCATAGAGAACTCACAGAAAAAAATTCAGAAAAAAACAAATATTTTCAGGCCCCGAAATAATTTTGGGCGGGGGCCGAACGCCGTCGGGTGCGGACCCCGTACGGGACCCCGAACGCCCGTACATACGGAGGTCTGCCCGGGGACCTCCGTACGTACGGGCTGGTGACCCTGCACATAACTATGAACTAAAAGCACGCATGTATAGTTTTTTTTTTAATCTTTTTTTTTTTTTTTTTAAATCGTAAAGAATTTCGATGTGACCCTGAGGCAAAAGTTGTTCACGTTATTTTTCTGGACAACAGGTTTTTTCTTCGGATTTATTTTATTTTATTTTTAATTTTTCGCTGGGACCTTCCTCAGTCCTTGCCTGGCAGCGAGCTCTGGCGAATTCAGATATGCCAGACATGGGAGCTGTCATAACGGGGTTTTTTTTTTCGGATTTTTTCACCTTTTTTTTTTTTTGCTGGGTCCTTTTTTGGTCCTTTGCCTGGGAGCGAGCTATGGCGGATTCAGCTATGACAGACTTGGGAGCTGTCATAACATTTTTTTTTTTCCGGATTTTTTGAATTTTTTTCACTGTAGTTTTTTTTTTCGGATTTTTTCACTTTTTTTCTTTTTAAATAGGACCTTCTTGATCCTTGCCTGGGAGCGAGCTATGGCGGATTTAGATATGACAGACTTGGGAATTGTCATGACGGGCAGGCTAAGAAGAGGTGGTCACCGAGCTGGTCAGTAGCGATTGCCTACACCCACCACCATTCCTGCAAGATGGGCGGATCGACCAACACACAGTTGAGTGCGAATTGAGGGCATACACAGTGAAAGAAAGATCATTCGATGTGTGAGGCCTGTTAGAAGACAGCGTGAAGTTGCACAATGCACTTATCTTCAGACAAAGAGAACTGGATGAACTGGATGAGATGGATACTTGACTGTACGTCGAGGGGCGCCATAAGTCGCTGGCGACCTAGCAGCGATGAGTTTGTTTCTACATCACGCCAGCATAGCCATCGACAGCTGGGCCAATTCTACATCAGGGCAGGATAGCAGTCGATAACTTCGTGGAATCTTTAGAACGGCAAGTCGACGGTACGTCTATGGGCGCCATAACTCACCGCCAACCTAGCAGAGATGGGTTTGTTTCTACATCACGCCAGCATTGCCATCGACAACTGGGTTGTTTCTACATCAGGGTAGCATAGCAGTCAATAACTTCATGGAATCTTCAGAATTTTGTAAGTTGGTGGTGCCGCGCACGATCATAGGGGTGATAACCTCATCAGCAATTCTACACCCACCTTCTCTCTCTAGCTAAGGTTGACGGTTCAAATCCTCTCTCTCTCTCTCTCTCTCTCTCTCTCTCTCTCTCTCTCTCTCTCTCTCTCTCTCTCTCTCTCGTTCTCTCTCTCTCACATCGATTTGCATTGAATTCGTTTGCTACAAGAACACAAGAGAGAGGAACGCTCTCTCTCTCTCTCTCTCTCTCTCTCTCTCTCTCTCTCTCTCTCTCTCTCTCNTCTCTCTCTCTCTCTCCCCCTCTGTCTCTCTCTCATCGATTGCATTGTTCGCTACAAGAGAACAAGAGAGAGGAGCTCTCTCTCTCTCTCTCTCTCTCTCTCTCTCTCTCTCTCTCTCTCTCTCTCTCTCTCAAACACACATCGATCTTGCATTGTTTGCTACAAAAGAACAAGAGATAGGAGGAGGAGATAGGTGCCGATTCAGTAGTCTATACGATGCAGTGGTGATCCTCTGCATCATTGTTGTCTGACATACTTTGGCGAGAGTTTTTCTCGACTATTCGTTAGGCGAAAAAAAAAAAAAGAAATCAGAAATCATCATTTTCTGAAAACTATTGCACCTTTTCCTCTCGTCGGCATGACTTGCTCCTCTCGTCGTCCTCCTCTCCTCCCCTCCTCCTCCTCGTCCTGGCCCTCCTCCTCTTCCTCCATCCAATACTTCTCCTCATCGTCTTCCTCCATCCAAAATTCATCCTCCTCTGCACCTCCTCTTCCTCTACACAATATCCCTCCTCCTTTTCCTCCTCCTCCTCCTCCTCCTCCTCCTCCTCCTCCTCATCCACCCAATATTCCTCCTCCTCCTCCAGCTACAACCCCCCTCCTCCTTTTGCACCACCTAATCCCTCCTCCTTCCCTTGCTCCACCTATATCCATACTCCTCTTCCCCCCCCTCTATCCCTCGTCCTCCTCTTCCTCTCCACCTAATACTCCTCTTTCTCCACGTATTTTCCTCCTCGACCTGTTCCTTCAACTATTGTCATCCTCCTCTTTCTCCGACCAATACTCCCCTTCCTCCTCCTCCTCCTTCTCCCCCTCCTCCTCCTCCTCCTCACCCTCCTCCTCCTCCTCCTATATCCCTCCTCCTCCTTCTCCTCCTATATCCTTATCCTTATCCTCATCTTCATCCTTACCTTTATCCTCCTCCTCCTCCTCTTCCTCCTCCTCCTCCTCCTCCTGCTTCTTCTACTCTTCCTCGACACACCCACACACACTCACATATGCACTAGGGTCCAACTCGCCGATTTCTGCCATCGATTTGGATTGGACAATTCAGAAAAATAACAATAATAATAATAAACAAAGAACTCTGCGTTT